AAAAAAAAAGAGAGAGAGAGAGAGAGAGAGAATGCGTGTAAATGTAATTGAAAGAAAATAAATAAGATAATATAGTGAAACGCGTTTAGAAACGAAAAAAAAATAAAGAGTAAAAATGAAATAAAAAAGATTAGATTAATGCGTTTTGCGCGAAGTTTAGACAAATTTTGTAAAAATAGAGAAAAAAAGGATGGAAATGATTGGGAGTAAAATACGTGCTTCGAAAAAACCGTCACGAGTCACATTTGTAAGTTTTTTTCGTGATTTATCGAGCTGATTCGTCGATAATATTAGAGAACGTATCAATTGGTATATATATATACGCAAATCGTTCGCATAATTTTGCCGTTTAACCTTTTTGGTACGGCTCAATTTTGCGCGAGGCTATTTCTCTGGACGGCAGAATCTGACGCGAACTACATATAAACGATACATTACTGCAATGTGTGACGTTCTCACGTGAATACATTGGAATAAAGTATTTGATGATTAAATTATTATTTTTCTTAAAAATATATTGCACATACTTAAACTTTAACATTTCACTTAAATATGAATGCATATGAAGACGATTATTTAATTCAACGAGTAAGCTATTCGAGTGAACCACTATAGTGGCGTGTCGTTCTGGAAGATGATGTCCGCGAAAGTCACCATAATAGCACGTCGTACCTAAAAGGTTAAATCGTCCGAACTGGCTTCAAAAAGAAAAAAAAACGCGTTAAAGATAAAAAGAAAAAGGAAAGAACGAAATAGATAATACTTATTCTGCTTCTTCCTTCTGATAAAACGTCTTAAAACCACCGGTGTGCAATGTATTTTGATAAACGTGTGTCAAATTTGTCGAAAAAAAAAAAGAAAATGAAAACGCGCAACTTTCTAGGCAAAAGAATAGCGTTTTAAAATTGTAAATTAAATTTATAAATCGATGATACGCGTATCTGGTTGTTTACATCTTGACGGAATAAAGAAACGAAAGGTGGATTATTAACAAATAAAAGAAAGAGAAAGAGAAAAGAAAAAAGTTATTATCTAACCAGTGGTGGCTAAAGTTTTTCGATTTTTAGTGCCCTTACTGAAATCAAATTTTCCCAAGAAGCCATATATTTGTAATCCTAATAAATAAATTTTCCGATATAATCAATAATTTCTTGCAAGGGTTAAATAAAAATAAATAAAACACATTTTAGATCACAAAAAAAATATTATTAAGGAAATATTATTTTTAATTAATTTTTAAATAATAATTATATTAATTAGTAGGGTAAATGAGCTTGTTGGTCAACCGCAGATTTTCTTAATTCGTGAAATTAAACTTTTCCATATTGATTTTCATACGATGCTTAGATTTTATAGCAACAATTGTCGATAACCCAAAATCACAGAAATAAGAAGTTCCGAATGAAATTAAAAAATAAAGAAAATTGCGTAATGTTACACGGCTTACCATGAGACGAACACAAACTTTAAGAACATCACTGGTTAAAGCTTATCGTACGGAATTGTTTAAAAGAAAAAATGAAAAAAGAAAATAGAAAAATATTGTTCATTTGATGAAACACACATCAAAAAATATCGGTGCGATTGTTCATGCGTATGTATTTTGAAAGAAAGTTTTATTAAATATGTCGAGGAAAAAAAAACAAACGCTAAACTTTCTAGTTTCAAGAGAATAGCGTTTAAAAATAAAAAATAAAAATTTTGATGGATACGCGTATCTGATTGTTTATATTTCGAAGGAATAAAAAAATAACGATAAAAGAATTATTAAAAAAAAATAAGGAAAAGAATGAGAGAAAGAGAGGAAGAGGGTAGAGGTAATTTGCTAAACTAAACTGATAGACAGTCGAGCTCAGATAGGTTTCGTGATTAATATCTCGTAAACGTGTCCTCCGATTTGTCATCGTTATGTTCAGATAGTCAAATTCGAAATAGGATTAATTTGTTATCGTGCGGAGCGTTTAAGAATTGACTTTGGGGTACTCAAGTCAAAATAAATTAAATGAACTCAATAAAAGAAGAATAAGAAAAATAAAAAGAAGAAGGAGGAAAAAAAAGAGAAAAAGAAATATCGAGTTATATCTCTCTCTCTATATATATATATATATATTTAATAATATATATATTATTATTATTAAATAATAAAAATAAAAGTAAAAAAAGAATAAAATAATAAAATAATTAATTAATACGCCAATTTTTTGTAAACCAAGAATAAATGAATAAATATATATATACTCGAGTTACTTCAAAATATGCTCCGCTGTGCTCATGCAGTGATATGTTAATGTAATATAACAAAGATGAAAATGAAACGAATCGAACTATATTGTCTCTCTTATCTTGTAAATTATTTCAAAATGTCGATAGACGGAAATTCAATTTTTTTTCTCCTTTTCTTGTGCGATTGCATTTTTTCTAGCTTCAAGTGTATTAACTGAGAAATATTTAAAAACGATAATTATTTACATTTGGATATAACAAGTAAGAAACAAAAAGAAATAACTTATATCTTTTAAAATCGTGCTCGTTATTCGATCTATCGATCTTTCCACGAAGTGTCTTAAAAATAATATATATATATATATATTTGGTTGACTCTTCGACGAATATAACGAGCATCCTAAACGTATCTTAAAATATATTTTAATTAGTACCGTTGAAAGATCAACACGTTACACGACGGCACATAATTACCAAATTTCTTGAAGGAAGAAAAAACTTACACAAAAAACAAAACAGATAAAAATAAAGACAAAAGAGAGAGAGAGAGAGAGAGAGAGAGAGAGAGATAATGTAAACATTGTTGAGTATTTAAAGATACAAAAAAATAAAGAGATATTAGGTTGGTGCAACAATAATTAATTAAGTATAAATACTTATATGGTTAAAAGCAATGGTTCCCAAAAATTGTTGATTCTCGGCACCCTTACTAGATACAGTTTGTCCCTAAATACCATATGTCCAATTATAATGAGTACACTTTGGAAAATAATCAATCATTTTGTGTGCCAAGGGTTAAGTCAAAATGAATAAAACTAAATTTAGATCAGAAAACAATATAATGGAACAAATTCAACGGTTTCTATTACAAATTTTTTCAAATCATTGATTTTCGCGCAATACTTAAATTTTATTATACCAACTGCCGAAAATCCAGACTCGCACAAAAAATAAATCTCAAATAGAAGTAAAGTATATATTTTGCGGCACACCTTAGGAATCATTAATTTAAATGTTAAATAACTCTTTAATAATCGATCTTTTTAGTTATTCTGCAATTTCTCAATTTATTTTATCTTGAACTAAAATCATGAGAAAATTTTCTTTTTCCATAATTAATTAGAGTACTTAAATTCGACAATTCTAGATAAAGACAACTATAATTTAAACAAGAATCGGTAATACGATGATAACTAAATAAAATAAAATCAGAAAAATTAATGCCAAATTTAGAGTAATAAAAACCATAATTATTTTTACACCAACTTAATATTTGATATTATGCACAAGAAATTAGTATAATTTTGGCGAGTATGATCTCGTTTTACCAAGACGAGCACTTCGAATGGAACATTTTGAAGTAAAAAGAATAAATTTTAATTCGTAAAATAAATAATATAGAATATTTTCGATGGTATAGCTTTTAAATGTAAGCGCTAATAAAGTTGTCATTTTCTATATGAAAAAAAAAAACAAGTTATAGGTGAAGATAAAGAAAGATATAGAAAAAAAGAACAAGAAAATAGTCAAATTTTAAAAGGAAACATGGAAAAGTTTAGTGAGGAAACGATCTTGTTTTTCTTTTTACCGAACGCGTCAATTGCACTAATGACTCTTCGGATTTGTAAATCTAAGGATAATAAAGAGAAACAAAAAAACATATGTGGGAACACGAGTATTGATAGGGATGCAGAAAGAAGTATAGAAAAGATGAGTTAACGCGCGCGCGAGCGCTTATGTATGTTGTGTGTGTGTGTGTTCGTGCATGGATGTTTGCAAAAATAATATAAATTAAATAAAGGACGTGTGTGTATCGAAAAAATTGGAATACGGTTCGAATAATTGACTTTTTTTCCTTATAAGCCGCGTTCATGCATACACACATATGCATATTCGTAAATATATATATGTATATACAGGGTGTTTCGTAATATTTGTATCCGACATCAACAGTGATCTGAAAACACAAAAATAATTAAAAAGAAATTCATATAAATATGTGTCCTTTTTGACCATGTTTTAAAGTTATAGTAACTTTTATATATTTTAATAATTACGAAAGATTATCCTCATAGAAGATACTCGAAATGATTTTTTTGTGGTTTGTATTTTTAAATGTTACTCTGTGTCTTGTAAATATTTCTTGTCCTCGTTGACGGTATACATTCCGTTAATTAAATTTAGTCATTTCAGTTTAATCAGTCTAATTTCAATGCACAGTTCTTTTACTAGAATTACTTCATTATTTTTTATTTACTCTCTCTGTTAAAAGTAACAAGTACTTAATTAAATTTTTTGTAT